CACACACACACACACACACACACACACACACAAACACACTAGTACACACACACACACATACACACACACATCCACAAGCGCACGCAGGCACATACACACAGAAGCATATACTCACACATAAGGGAAGAAGTACACTTTCATTTTGATATGTCACTTCTCAATTTTTTAAATACAGAAACGTACATGGACACAAGTAGGCGTAAGACACACCGAAGGACAGATACAAAACAGGGAAACAAAATAGTTAGCCTGTCACTGGCACCCTCAAGCCATCCGTCAACTACCTTCTATCTATGCCATTTCACATAACAATAAAAAATAATACGACTACGAAAAGAAGAATACTCCTTCATGCTCACAGTGCTGTACTGATTTATGCTGCCACCATTGTTCAAAGTCATCAAATCTCAAGGATCAAACTATTCTCTGCCATTCTTGCTTATGGGCAAATATGACTTACAAACGACGCATTACACGATTATCTAGTTGCCATCCGTGGTCTAGCCCTGCCTCTCTCAAAGTGAAAGTGGAAAAGGAGAACGAAAGAACTAGAAAACCAGCCAGACAGCTTTCTTCCTTTACAAAGAATTATTCCTGCTCCTTATTTTTTTCTTTCTCACCATTTTTACAATGCACGTCTGTTGCATAACTCGTTAATTTGTATTCACTTTCAATGAACTCGGGCGGCTAGTCAAATAATAATCGGACACACTACCATGTAACTGTCACATCCATATAAACAAAAACATATATCACTCGTCTTTGGACATAAAACAAAAACTACAATGAATATAAGCATAGCTCCTTCCCCGTGCTAGTGTTTAGCAGCATACAACGACCTTGACAGCAGCAACAAATTGGTTGGGAGAGGGGAAACTTCCACTCTGGAACCCCAACATCCCATTCAAGCTCTGCCCGACCCACCACAAGTACCTCCTTTCTCCCTCCCTCTCCATCCCGTAATATTACCTCATTTGTTCTCCCTTATTTTTTTGCCTTTCCCTCGCCCTTAAGTGGAGAGCACATTGGTCCGATCTCATGGAACGTGTATACGACGGCCGTGCTAACTAGACTTCTTCTTAATAAAAAGATGCTGGTAAAACAGTTTTCTTCATCTCACTGGATTTCCCAAAGGCTAGCAAACTGGTATTTCCAGGACAAGATTAAACGTGGTTCGCGTGAGGTCGCTCACAGGAAACGATACAGAATAACTGAATAACCAACGACCGCACTTCGGACAGAGGGGGCGTTTTATTTTTCCATTCAACTTGCGTTGCAGAATCGATATTTCTTTCAAGAAGAAAGAAAAGCCAGCTGAGCTGTCAATGCATTCAGCAACTTTGCCATCATGTAGGGTAGGTGAAGACGGAGAACCGGAGTCTGTGGTGTAGCGGTTAAGTGATTCGCTGTCGCTCGAAGGAGACTCGAGTTTGATTCCGGTGTGGGAAGAAATATAGAGTATCTCGGTCTTTCTATTGCGATGTTGTATACCGGTTGGCCCTTCAGGCAGGGTATCGGAAGCCCACCTCCTAAATGATATAAATTGTGTAGAAGGGGACGTTGTTTGATATAGGTGTCTCAGCCACGGATTTTCAGGTGAGATCCAACAAAGCAATGGAGAAATCAGCCACACAGCCTTTAACCTGGTTATAGTTGACCACGGCCTGCCCCAGCTATTCTGAACCTTACGACTCTGTTATGGTTGCCAAACTAAACTGTCCTTCCAACCCTGACAAATTATGGCCGGTTCTATTTGCCAGTACGATTGTTTTGTTTTTTATTCAGCCTGGCACAGAACAGATCTTTTCGAAGGCCGTACACCCTCTCGCCTGTCAGGATAGAAGACCGAGAGGAAAAATTCCACAGAGGATGGGAACATTTCGTGCGGGGGTTTTGGGGGTGGGGTTGGTAAAAAGGAAGAATATAATTTATTAACCAAAAAGTTATAAATTTTGCTTAGCCCTTAGGAAACGCCAACTTAGAAGTCTCTTTGTTGTTGTTGATATTATTGTTGTTGTAGTTGTTGTAGGTGGTGGTGGTGGTGATGCTGTAACTGTTGTTGCTGCTGCTGTTGTCGACCATTTTCCTAGCTTCCTAGACACATAATATGGATTATTTCAAAGTTAGAATTGAACCACGATTGTTCGTTACCTTTGGTACAGCTGTATACACCCAGTTGGTTAAGTTTCGTTGGCCACAAATAGGTCTGGTCCATTTCGTTCACGGTAGAGGTTTTTAACTCTTTTAGCAAAATACATAATCCTACATCCGGAGACCACGTCAAATAATAATAATAA